ACTCAACGGCATGCATGTAAGAAAACATTCATTTCAAGTATTTTCACTTTCATTTGGTTGATGGTGTAGCCTAACAAATTCCCAAAATTTAATTCAAAGTGGGGGAATTGTCACTGTGTATACGCTACTGTCGCTGATTGTTAGTGAGCTGAACAGTCGCACATTATGTTGTTGATCTTCAACTCAAATTCAAAAATAAATTAAAGCAGGGGAGTTGTCACACATGCAACAGGCGACCATAGTGTGTCACTGTTTACAAATCTTAAGTGTCTACCTATGAGTCTTGTGATTAAGCATTTGTAATATATCGCTTCGGACTGAATTCTAGTGCATGGTCAGATGACGCCCCTCTTCATTTTAAGTTCTGCCCGTTTGAATCACATGGGTCAACATGCAGTTCAGAAGGACATATACATGTAGTGGTGATCATTACACAAGTGAAGTGTATATCCATTGAATAATTTGGGGTTCATTTTCTTCTGTTTATTTGCAGTGTCTAGGTGATGACAGATTTGGTGCGATGTTAGAAAAGTTGCAGACAGTCATCCATGCAGACACTAGATACCAGAAAGGAGCCTTAAACATGAGAACACAGAAATGTTTTGCTGTCAAGCCCAATATCAATGGTAAAGTTCACAAGAGGTGGTCTGTTGTTGTTACAATTCTCCTCCAGTGTAAACAGAATTATTTGTATTCATTTTGGTCAAATACCTTACTCATTCAAATTAGCACCCAGGGTACTCAGCTACAAATATTCTTCCTCATGCTTAGTAGGCACATTGCAGAAGTCAATTATCAATGTTGAAGTTTGATCTGTTGGCATTGATTTCAGTAAAAAAAAAGTCATGATAAACAACTTTTGAAAGGCAAACTGAGTGTGGAAACAGTATTTCATGTTTGTTAACAGCTCATTATTGTAGTGTCATTTACTCATAAATAAATGATGTAATTTGATTATTCAGAAAAGTAAAACAAGACCATATTTGGGGCCTATCAGAAGGGATGGTTGTTAAGTAAAATTTTACTGCAAAAAAATAATTATCTCCTAAAAGTGGGAGGTGGGCCTTTAGTCAAGCATTGGTGCTAAGCCAGTCAAGTAAGGTATGTACAACATTTGACTGTTTGCTGTACTGTTATGTAGAACTTTCAGACTAGCTCGTCTGAATACTTATAGTATTAATATAATAATACCATGTTGGTTTAATTCCACCCTATGTATGTGCTTTTAAAGATATATTTTTATCTGATACAGGTTTATTAGATGTAGCTAGGCGAACATATACGGAGATAGTCGATGATATAGCAGGTGGGTTGTGTATGTCACCTTTCATAGTCAAGTTTCAAGTTCCCGGAGCTTGTGACAGAAGGTTGGGGGGGGGGGGGGGGGGGGGTTAATTGGTCCTGCAGAAATATCTTGCAAATATATATATATATATAATG